ACACACACACACACACGTATATATGAATGCATTAAGTACGTATACATGCATAATCCATACATGTGTGTGAATATACCTCCTGAAGCTGGTAGACTTTGCAAAGCTGAATTTACACAGAAGCAGCTGACACAAATATACATAAAAATACTGAACAGGCACGAAAAAGTCCCATATGTATTTACAAACTGTGAAATCAGTACGTAGATTGATCGCAAAAGGGAAATGGCTTATTGTCTTCTATGAACAATACTTCACAGCAGGAGGAAAAGGTAACTACTGAAATTTGAACGTGGACATAACTGACCAATATGAATGATGTGTCCCTTTTTGTCCAGCATGATGTTGCCATTATGCCTGTCTTTAATCTGGAGCAGGAACAGGAGAAGACTATATGCAGCCATACTGCGGATGAAATTATAGCGAGCCTGTACAAACAAGAAGTTAAATCAGAAGAACATAGAGAATTTAATAACTCTCCATCCCAGGAGCAGATACAGCTGAACACAGTTGGGGTTTTTTGTTTGGTTGTTTTGGGGTTGTTTTTGTTGCTTCCTCCCCCCCTCCATTCATTATTAGTTTGAAGCAACGTTCAAAGGAGAATATCAATTCTCCATACATCTACAGCTGCAATAACTTCTTTAGCTAACTCACTCATAGCTAAAAATGGATTATCAACATCAGAAACCAGATACAGCATTATGGTAGTCATTATCCAATTATTTGTCATTATTTCTCATAGCTAGAATGTTTCTCAGTTGAGATTTTCTGGTGCTTGCCAGCTGGTATTTTACCTTCTGGAATGCAAGGGTAGACTCATCTCCGTATTGCCTTGTAAAGTAATCATACATCCCAAAGTCTGTCTGCCTGCCCAGCTGGTCACGGGATGTGCAGTCAGGAATGCATTCAATAACACCACACTGAAGGGGAAAAAGAGAAACAGGTCCGTAAAGCACGCTCCCAACATATATTTTGTTCATGGCTCTTGGCAGTCATACAGGTCCCCTGGGAAATGTGGGGAAGCCTATAGACCACGGAATACAGAATTTCTAGTTTATTCATTAAAAAGTATATACAGATTTTTAGGATTTCCATGCAACATAAGACAAGCTTTGTGACTTCCCACTGACTTGCCCAGTGTAGTCCCAAAAACCAAACAACAAACATGAATAACCATAGGCAGCAAAATTTCAGAGCCAAAAGATTTAGAAAAGCAGGAAGCAAGAGAGGAAAAACTTTTTGTTGCTGGTACTCCAAATATTTGGCATAAGTGATGTGGACAGTATGGAATTTTTATGTGGGCTGGAAGACTTTTTTTTTTAATTAGAAACTGTTTTCTACAGCAGTAGTTAATTGACCACTTACCCCAGGAGCTGTGGCCACCACTCTGTATGGAAACACAAAAAGATCCAGGCCCACCAGCTGAAATATGTTCTTGAAGAGGTCGATAATTTGTAAAGCTAACATGTCCTGTTATACAAGAAAAAAATTGCACAAGCATTACAGGGGTTACAGATCACAGATTACAAAAATGTTCTGATGAACTCTCAAGTGAACTTTAGGTTACCCCAGCAGGTCTGCAGATGTGTGCTTGCGCATGCACTGTGGCTCTGGGGGAAATTGAGGAGGGAAAAGACAAATGCTCTTTAAGTGGGTAGCAAGCAACACCGCAGATTTAACTGCTGACCTATGAAGAACAAAATTTTCCATCACTCTTTGGTAAGAGGGCTACTAATAACTTCAGAGAGTTATTAGCATTTCCCTTTTAACCAAAAGCAATCAAGTTTCAATGTACAAGATACCACCTTGGAAACTACTGCTATGTTATCAATAGTTAAACTGAGAAATAAACTCTGAAAAATAATTTTAAGTCATGGTAAACTGTCTTGAAAGAATGGCTTTTGTTCCCAAACCTGAATTTCTTCTAGTGGTACAATATAGTTCTCTCTCTCAGTTTATAACTAGTGTTGATTCTCAAAATCCCCAAGAAAAACATTTCTATACTAAAATTCTTTTCTGAAACATACAATTATTTTCTTACACAGCTCTACAAATCTGTCTTCTATAACTACAAAGCCTGACAGCTTTGTACCTGTCTGCAGTCATCGCCCACTTTAAAGATAGCTGCCTGCCAACAGATTTTCTTACTGTCCATTCCTTCTTCTGCACTTTCATCTATGGAATCAGAACGACAACGCAGACCTGCAAGAAGGGTACAAAGCAAAACCCAGACATGGAATTTAATTAGTAACTTTCTATCAAGCCCTCTCCACTCAAAAACATAACATTTCACTGCAGGTACACTACAGATACTTTTGCCTTGCAAGGTGGATGCTGTAAGATAGTTCCCTTTGCCTACTGGAACTGGAACACATCAAAATAGTGTTCATGATTTACCTGATAAATGCCTGAATTGCATTAAACTGGTCAGCTAGAGCGCCCCACAAAATTTATTATGAGAAAAAAGTGCTACAACCTGGAGTTTGCTACAGTGTAAAAACCAGGGCAATCAATTTATATGTTAGTCTAAAGTAACTGTTAACACTTCAAGATACCTCTATGTGGCTTGCTTCCTACGACTTCTTTTTTTAAATTAATTAAAGTTTTCAGAGTTTTCTCCTCTCTTCCTTTGATCCAGCTTCATTTCTGAGTTGAACCACTGCACATAGAGTTCAACATGGAAATAATTTTACTGCAGCAGCAAAGGTCAGTAAAAGCAGGTGATTTTAAAGGAACTGCTGTTTCTCACTTAGTAGTGTCAATGATGAAGATGCAGTTACTAACCTTCTTTTTCAAGCTCACTAACTCCGCATCGTTTCACTTTAAATTTGGCCAGGTAGGGTGCTTTTGCTGCACTAAAATGTAATAAAAACCAAGATGATGATGAGTACAAGTTAGCCAAACAAGAACTTCTAGAAAAATACCTAAGTATCATGAATTAACCTAATAGGAGAATATAGGTACCTCTGCATAGGAGTTCCAGATTTGTAATCAATGTCCAGAACAATAGCTTCAGGATTGCTGGGCAAGTAACAGCCTGCAAAATGGAGCAGACAGCTGAGAACAAATCCATTGGCTAGCATGACAGTGCAGGCTGGAGAGTAACTGATGTCAGTGTCTGTAACTTCAGTACAGAGTTTTTAATTAAATAAAATGTTAGAGATAAACTGGAGATTACAGTCTGTGAGCCACGAGGGATGAAGTATCCTTTGCATTAGTGAGCCACTGCCAGAAACTCATAGAATACAGTTTTGAACTAATACTGCAGAATCTGTACCACAGAAAGGTGCAGACAGGACTTCTCTTACAAAAGCCTCTAATAAGACGTGGCAGAATGTGCCGGTGCACTGGGGAGGGCCCTTAGCAACCAACACATGGTAGGAAAATTGAGATCTGTTAGAAAGAGATCAGGAAAAGCTTTCCTCAAAGTCCATTTTAAAGAGAAGATTCAGATTGGGAAAATATATGTTAAAAATTTGTAAAGACCTTTGGACAACGATATTTCAAGGGAGGGCCTGATGGAAGAAAAAGCAGAATGAAAGTGGACATGCTTAATTCTTGAGGTAACGTCTCAAAAGCGTCTCATCTTTTTAAAAAGAAGGTGGTGCAAAGAAAAGCAGCTTATTTATCTTCCCTCTTCAGACATACATTTCTACTTTTATCCATGATGTGCGTTACCTAACTTGCTCTTGGGCAAGTTTTGATGAACCATATATAAATTACTGGGTAGGTAGAAGTATTTTAATTGTTTCAAAAATGAAACAAACGAACTGTAACAGAAGAACAGCCACCAACGCCAAAACCAAGAGCTGCCACTTGCAAAGACTTCAAGATCTGCTTGGAAAATACAGTACTCGTGTTGAATACAGAACCTAATTATATTACATGTTTAAGTCACTTCTTACCAGGCTGCACTTTCACCTCAGACAGAGCACTCAAACAAGCTTTTTTTCTTTCATCTCCTTTAGGGAAGGGCCTAGAAAGAGGAATGATATTTTATTTATCTACACACTATAAACTACTCTATGTACGAGCTTCAAATTTGTTTCACATTTATACAAACAAGAAATGTTTCTTCTTGTAACAACAAAGATGTCTTCTTGCACCACTTCTAGAGAACGCTCAATACCTAACCAGAGCATTTTCTATTTCAATGATGGTTATAGTCTCTGCTTTGTAGATTTAACACTGATTTGACATATAGGTTGTTGACAAACCCAAATAGCATAAGAGATGTGAGCGAAATGTGTGAAAGCTCTTCCTTATAAAGAACTTTGAACTTAATTACGCATTTGTAAGCATCACTATAGTTATACCATAAGATTTTCCCTTGTGGACCTTGTTCTAGAATAAGAACATTGCTAACTGGAAAAAAAGAAGCCAGCAAAATGCCTATGCAATTACATGCCTAATTTGTTCACGTACTTAGCATGACTGCAGGTGTCAACCGGGTAATTGGTAACATGGTTAATGATCAGTAGTACAATTACCCAATTTGCACAGGCACTTCTGTTAACCATCTACTGAAGGCAGTCGTGCAATTGCACACTCATCTGGTGTAGCAGCGTGCAACTGAAAGGTACGACTTATGCTCTAGTTTTAAGCAGTACAGCAGATCACCAAAGCAGCAACGTAACAGTTAAGATAATGAAATCATCACAGATGATACTTTTATTAATTTGTGCCATTTACAAAGCGAACAGCATCTCCTCTTTGTTGTCTTTACAGTGGAGAAGCACAAAAACCAGATTCATTTTAAGGCTGGAGTGCAAAATGCAATGCTTGCAAAGCACAATTATTATCAGTTGCTTACTTATGACTTCATACTACAAAGTGGTGGCTTGATTTCATTTTAAATATCAAGATACTTAGATCCTAACCTGCCCCTTTTAACTCATCCTACTAGGTGAAAACATTCAGACGTGCACACAGAAGGCACCTAATATTTGACAGTTTCTGTAGTGTAACCATCCTTTAGCCTGATACTCTTATTCTGGTGGTTTGCAAAGCTTCATTTTAAAGAAGGTATGTTCCAGGAAATACTTTTTCTATGGCTTTCAAACACTTCCATATACCACAGATTGTTTTAAAAATATGCAATGAAACAACACTTACAGACTTCGAGCTTGTGTGCTGAGCTGCTGCCATCCACTGGCAAGCTTTATAAAAGTTAAATGATCTATCTTACTGCAGTCTTTAAAGCAAACAGTGAGAATCTCTCTATGAGCAGGACTTTCAGTTCTAAGAGACCAACAATCCAATGTCTGCGGCACCAGATCTTTCTCCATAACCACAACTTAGGAATGAAGGAAAAAGACTTACATGTGCAAAAGGAACAACTGTCTTTGTATTACACCACACAATGAAATCTCTTTGTGACGAGGAAAAGACATTTTCATGGAGTTTAAGCAGAAGATAAACCATTTACCTGTGCTTGAGGTTTTGTGGTGGTTTTTGTGATTTTGTTTGTTTGCTTAAACTCTCAAAAAAATATTGATAACCAGTCATAATTTGCAAAAAAAAAAAAAATGGAATTCAATCTGGTAGACCTAAACAGAGAAGTGCTGTTTTTCCTGACTGAACCAAGCTCTACTTACTTTTCAGAAGTTTCAACACTGGTATCATATCCAAAAAGCCAAATTAATGATCCAAGTGACAACTGGGCAGATGAGATTTCAACTAGGACAAGAGGACCGATTGCTCTACCAATCCCATTCCTGTATCAGTGCACTTTTCTAGAGAACCTCATTCCATTATTGCCAACCACAACGTATTTGATAAAATCAGATTAAAAACTAAAGTTCAAGTTTAGAATCATCTGCTTCCAAAGTAAAAAGTAACAGCTGTTTCAGACGGACAGGAGCAGAGATCAGGGCAGATATGAATTATCCCTAGAAGTCAAACTAAATGAGCCTTTGCATCCTACTACAACTCTGAAGTTACCTTTAAGAAAAAAAAATCCTTTTCTCACAGACAAGTAATTAATTCTTTTTTCCTGAAAACACTATCACAATACCACTAAAAGCAACTTAGCCTCTTAATCAGGACACTGGTAATTAACAGCACAGCAACCCCCCCCAAAAAGCACAGTTTCTGAAGTACAGCACTTACTTGATAATGGCTGAAACATTGGTGATTTTATTAAAGAAATCAAATTCCCGTTGGTAGAATTCCTTGGCTGGGCCAGATAACGAGCCGGTTATCTCCTCTACTAGCTGCTCCAGAAGCTCCCCAATGTCAGCTGCATGTGAAACACAAAGCGTTTGTTTCAGCAGCTTATTTCAGCAAGCTAAACAATACAGGTGATGGCAATAGTCACCTTCAGACAGTATTCAAAAACAGGTACTGATGCAAAGACTGCCACATCTCTTTTGAGAACACTTCTACAGAATGGGTCCTACCGCTACAAATGAAACAGAAGCCCCTAGCTAAAAGGATTTCTCCTGCCAAAAGAGAAGCAGGAAGGAGTTTTAGTCTGAACTGAGATAAGAAAAGAAGTCAAACTAAATTATATTTTAAAGCACTCACGATCTTTTTGGTGTCCTTCTTCATCCAGGTAGATATTAGTTTTCATGTTCCAGATAAATTGATGAGCCAAGAGCTGGGATTTGGCAGCTGCCCACAGGATGTATTCTCTGACGTAACCCATCTGCAACCATATCAAGCCCAGTACAGATCAAAGACCGTTACAATTCTAGCAAGACTCAATATTACTGCTTCTAACAGCTGTTCTTCAAACTCAAAAATACTTAATGGATTGAAAGAAGACCTCTACACTTTCATTCACATTGCTAAAAATACCTTTGAAGAATGACAGAGTATTTTAACAGATAGTGAACTGACCTAAATTATTTTCAGCTTTATTACTGACCTACACTGTTATTCTAACCAGCCTTCCTCCCTCTATCTGTTCTATTTGGACTTCAAATCTCCTTGATCTTAGGGCACCCTCTAGTATGTGTACAAGGCACAGTGTAATAGGTACTGGTCTTACCTGCCATCACTAAATGCTTCTACAGTACCAGAACTCTAGACAGTGTCCTATGGACTGCACATTTTGGTGGCAAGAACTGCACATGCTGGCACAGTTCCACAGAAATTCTAGAAAGTAAGAACAAACTTACAAAAGAAGTTGAGGTGTACAAGGGAATCCTACTCATTCCAGAAGCTGCATTCCCTTTCCTTTACTTGCAGCTACTTTGTATTCTGTAGATGTTTCGATGTTTGACTGATATTAACAGACATGTCTGATGCTTATGCTCTGCACTCTAGAGGATACTTATCTGTGCAAAGCCCCCACAGAATAACTATATACAGCCACCTACACTACTGGCTGGGAAAGCCTTCACCTGAAAATACTGCACTGACCAGAGTTCACATACCTTCTGGGCAAACAAAAATCATCTCACATTAATGAACTCTGAACTTAGTCATCAAACTTTACTTCTGGCTTCTGCAGGATGAAGTTAAGGTCCTATTTCATATACATGATGGAGCACAAAACACCCCTAGACGTCTCCTCTGGTTAACTCCACAGCAAAATGATTAGGATAGTGATTCAATTTCATTACTGCTTGTCTCACGCAGACCTTCAAAAGCTTTATTCAGACAGAGTCCTCATCTGGGGTTTACTATAAAAAAAAATCTCATTCCTAACACATTAGCTACATAGCCTCTAGTTTCTCAAGTTTACCTTTCATAAAAGAGGTGCATCCAAAGCAAGCCAGCCTCTAGAGACAATAATTGTTCTTCTGTGTGTTAGACACAGGACAATAACGAGAGCATTAGTTTAAATTATGTCTAATTTGCAGTTTTGAATCTAAAAGCTGCTTTAAAAACTGTTTTGTTCCTATGCAGCTGTCATATATCCTCACCTTGTCATACCGAAGTGCCTGCACAATCTGTGGAATGTAGAATAAAATGGCATCCTGAAAGCAAAAAGATGGCAGGGTTTTTACTGTTACTGTTTTAGTGGTTGGAAAGGAAGACAGGTCATATGCAGAGAGAAAAGCTCCCTTCGGTTAGGTGATGAACAAACACCACTGTGTCTTTATTTTAAACTATATATATGCCACCTCCTCAAGTCAAAGTATTTTTCTGTCCAGTTACTCCCTTCAAAAATATCATTAATAATTGTGTATTTTACATTTCCCAATACAAATCTGACAAGTGTTAAAAATCCAGCCTTCTGCTGCTTTAGAGAAACACTTTTCTACTCGGAGAAGATGAGAGGAACAATTTGAGAAGAGTAGTCTGAGGAATTCAGCTTAGTGTGATTTATGACAAAAAACGCTGCAAGTACACAAACTGGTATTATGTGGGACAATCAACTTTTAACTTTTCACCCCAATATATTCACATTCTGCAATGTGGTGTGCCCACTTAGCATACACATCTCTCTACGGTATTAAAATGAAGCCTGTGGCCACAATGACTAAGGTCATAACTTTACTTGCAGTGTTAAAGCACTCTTGGAACTCACCGGAGGAAAAGATCGCAGGACTTTAACCCCATACTGAGCTGTTAGAGGATGAGGTGGATACATGCTTGAAAAATAGGAAAGGCCTGTTGGTGGATCTGTTGGTGCCCAGCACAGAACGTGGCTGAGCTCAGGTGCATCAGCATCAATTGTATGCCAGGTAACCAGGTACTGAAAAAGCAGGTCAGACACGTTAGGAGTTTACAGCACTCAGTAACGTCTGGGTAACACACAACAGACAGTAATGCTATAATCTAGCTTCCCATGGCAGGGCAAGTGAAACATGCTACATTGTATTTCACAAAACCATAGCTATTTTATCTAAAGTGCTTTTTTTCCATGGAAAACTAACTATTGGAATTGCCTCACCTTCCACATCACCAGATGAAGTTAGTGAAGTCAATTTACTAAAAACACAATACAGGAGTTGTAGCACAGGGAGAAAGAAGAGAGGATGAGCCCTTTTGTAAGAGTCAAAGAAGGTTCAGTTTTCCTGTCATGTATTTTACAGGTGATGCACAGAATGCAGCTCTGACAAGACTGTCCCTCACATGACCAGAGTGTGTCACTGCAGATCAGCGTGAAGAGTCTCCTCTGTCTCGAGAAGCTTGGCCTCTTGCCACACAGAATGGGTTATGCTTCAAATAGTTTCAGCAGCAGCACTCAGCAGTGGTCTTTATACATATTATGCAAAAGGAACAGAAATGGTGGCTGTACACAAGGGATGAGTTTTGAGAGGTTTTGTGTATAGTAAGAATATACCCAGGAGCAAGATGTACTACTAACTAACTAGCCGCCTACTCTTATATTACTATGCTTCTTGCCTCAGCACCCTACTTCCACAGCTGCTCTCTCTCTCTCTCCTACAGAGCTGTGGTTAGCACCAGAATATACACTCTGTTAAGTAAAGACTGTATTTTCCAATATATCTAAATGAAATGGCCATACCAGCGTCCTGTATGTATAAACAGTCACAAGTACCTTTATTGCTTCGGGAACATCACTCACAGCTCCTGGGTCCAACCGAACCAGACGGGTCACTTCTGTTCCAATAGCTTCAGTGTTCTTAAATCTAAGTATAACCAGCAACACAATAACATTGTCAGAAGACTTTGACAGCCAACTCTATTTATGTGAAGATGTGGACAGCAAAAGGCAGAAAAGTGTATGCTTAATAAACAAACAGTCCAACAATGAAATAATGCACATCGAGGGACCAATATTCTGTCAGAAGAGTACTCAGGAACAACTGGTCCTTATCCAGTACTTTTGTATAAACCACTAGTATTTTTGCCCACTCCTGGATTCTTGGCTGACATATAGAGTCTGGGATTCTACAGAAACCAGTGTCCAGTACTGTACTTGGCAAAAACCATCACTGTTGTAAGGGGGAAAGAATTTCCTATTGCTTCCAGAGCCAACTATGCTAATTCTCCTATAACACTTGCTAAAGGACAAGCCAGTATTATAGCTAGAACACTTCATTCAAAAACACTTTTAGCATTGCTTAAACGCTAATGGGTTAAATGCTATTAAAAACCAAACATGATTTCTTCTGAACAAAACACTGTTAGTGAAAAGTGGGTGGCAGGAAAGGAAGCTGAACTCCACTGGAGTCTGAGCCAAATGAGTGTATTAAGTAATGCAGTTCTTTTCACTTCAAAGGTCTCAACCAACTATGGAAGCATGCAAGGGGGCTGTAAACAGGAGCAAGTGTCATCAGTACTAACACTGTAAGGATTCA